AAAAAAACGTGAATTTTGGCAGAAAGGATGTAAAACATCCTTAAAATTCCCTTAAATTTGAATTCAACAGGTGAATACTGCGAGGAGTGCAAGGCCGGCAGTTACGGTAATGCAACGACACCCTTGGGCTGCCGAAAGTGCAACTGCAATGAGCACGGGGACAAAAACCTCGACTACTGCGACCGCCAGACGGGCAGATGCTTCTGCAAGGACAACACGAAGGGGGAGACCTGTGGCAAGTGCAGACGCGGGTACTACGGAGACCCCAGGGACGGTGGTATGTGCTACTACGGCTGCATGTCCCGAGGGATGCTGACCGGCGAGGGCAGTGGTAAGCAGGGTCTCGGCAGCAGGCACTCCCAGCTGTCCCTGTGGGAGAGCCACCTGGGGGGTAGCCCAACTCGGGAATGCCTGTGGATCGTCAGCCCGAAGAGCGGCTTGTCCTCCGCGAATGCCCCGGCCTCAACGGTGACCCAGAGCGTCATTCAGTTCACCATTCACGACGACATCAACGTCAGCTGCCAGGAGAACAGTGTCTACGTGTACGACGGCCTCCCAGACTTCGTCTCCTCGACCAGCAGTCACCAGAGCCAGCTGCTGGGCGTCTACTGCACCGAGAGCACAGACTACCCAGTGACCGTGGAGGCTAAATCAGGAATTCTGACTGTTCACTACAAACAGCTGGACGAGGTCGAGGGCTTCAACGCCAGCTACGTCGCCATGACCTGCGGCGACAGCTGTCCCTCGAATCGCGAGTGTCGAGGGGGCAATTGCCTCTGCAAGATCGGCTTCGTGGGGATCAACTGTGACATCGAGCTCTGCCCCAACAACTGCACATCATTGAAGAAGCAAGGGGTCTGCGACAAGAGCTACGGCCACTGCGTGTGCTCCCCAGGCTTCGGAGGTCGTGACTGTGCGATTAAAATCAAGGATCACCAGCTGGTGTTCACGGAGCTCTTCAACTCGGAGTACCTCGCCGACCACCTGGACCACCTCCGAAAGACACTGCCCCGTTTTGGCCACAGTCTGGTGGCAGACAGACGAGGCAGCCTGTGGATGTTCGGAGGGTACTCCCTGAGTCACGGGCCCTTGAACGACATCAGACTCTTCGACACAAAGAACAACACCTGGATGCCGGTGACGGTGGAATCAACATCGGAGGCCTCGATGCCCCAGGGCAGGTACTTCCACGCCGCGGAGATTGTCCACAGCCGTCAGCAGATCTACATCTACGGAGGCCTGACGATGAAGGAGGAGGGGATCCAGGGATTATCAAACAACACACTGAGCGACTTCTGGAAGTTTTCCCTGCAGAACCAGCGATGGGGTCTGGTGAAGCAGGAGACCATCCTCAAGGAGGAGCCTCCCCCCCTGGCAGGGCACACCCTGACCCTCAGACGAAACGGCGAGTCAGAGAGCCTGATATTGATCGGCGGATTCAGCCCCAAATACGGATATCTGGACAATGTCTGGGAGTTTAATCTCGAGACCGAGATCTGGGAGAGCGTCAAGACCCTGGGGAACGGCCCCCTGGGTGTATACGGTCACACAACAGTCTACCACACGAAGTCCGACAGTCTTTACGTGTTCGGTGGCTACACCTACGCCGTCAACCGCACCTTCATATCGAACAAGCTTTACGCGTTGAACTACAAATCCCGGACTTGGTCGATCCTCCCACCGTTCGACGACGACTCCAGCGACGGTAGTTCCCTCCCCCAAGCGAGATTTTTGCACTCGGCAGTCACCACCGACGAGTACATGGTGATCTTCGGGGGTCGCCAGAACCCCCACAACACCAGTGACTCCTTAATCGCCTACAAGTACGCCTGCAATCTCTGGATACGACTGATAACGAAGGACACTGAAACCATCGGGACACCGCCTCCCCCTGCCTACGCCCACGCCATGACCCACGCCGACCCAGAGCTCAATCTCCTGTACGTGGTGGGTGGGTTCGACGGAGGGATCAAGAGCCACGTCACCCAGATCAGCATTCCCGAGGACCTCTGCAGCCTGTGGACGGACAAGAACACCTGCAGAAAGTACTTCGGCTGCTCCTTCTGCGCGGTGACTACGATAGACGGCAAGAACGCCTCCTACTGCTTCTCGAATCAGTTATTCGGTAATCGAGACGACAAGTGTGACATCAACGTGACACAGGCCCAACGGTCCAACGGGATCTTCTGTAACTCCGAGTGGATGGCGAACAGGAAGTGCCAGAGCCTCAAGAGCTGCTCGGAGTGCCTGGCCCAGTGGCCGTACTACAAGGACGAGGATCCCGTCTGCAAGTGGTGCATGAACTGCCCGGTGGGAAAGTGCATACCAGTGGCCAAAGACTGCAACGAACTGAACAAATGCAACAACCTCCCGACCTCGGTGACGGACGTGGCCCAGTGCGGGGAGAGCCAGTGCCCAGCGAGCGACTGTGATAAATGCAATAATTTGGGCGACGACTGCGTCTGGACGAGGCAAATCCTGAAGACCCCGGGCTCGGGGTGGAAGCAGACTGCCGAGCCCGTCTACGACTGGAACTGCGTGTCGAAGAGCCTGGTCGAGAGGTCGGACATCAAGATGACGAGTGGCGAATGCGAGAAGCGCTGTAGCGATCACAAAGACTGCAGGAGTTGCCTGCAGGCCACGGGCTCAGAGGGCGGTTGGCACGAGTGCAGATGGTCGACACAGATGAACGAGTGCATTTCGCCTTCGTACCAACCCCTGTACTGCGCTGGAGGTGTTTGCGGACTGGTCCTGAAGAACGCCGACGTAGAACACTGCCCTGAGCCCTGCGCAGTCTTCAAGCAATGCAGCACGTGCCTCAAGCACTCGCACTGCGGCTGGTGTTCCCTGGATTCCGCCGAGATCACTGGCCAGGGAATTTGCACTGAGGGCTCTCTGGAGGCCCCCACTGATCACCCCGCTGGGGGCACCTGCCAGATGCTCTACAACCAGATGAATCCATCCACCCCAGCTCCCATCACGACTCCCCTGCCTCTTCTTCTATCGAACTCCTCGATGAACGAGACAGATAGCTCTGGGGAAGCTGCACCTCGCAACGATTCCTCAGCGATCTACGTCATAAGGAAGCCTGAAGTCTTCTCCTGGCACTACGTCAGGTGTCCCCCTGAGAACGAGTGCATCAACGGCCACCACACGTGCTCTCCCAAGAGCGAAAAGTGCTTCGACCTGGAGGAGGGCTTCGAGTGCATGTGTGGGGACGGTTACAAGAACGAGACAGCTCTACCGTTCAATGAATTCGGGAGGAAGACCTGTGTTCCCATGTGCACGCAGGGCTGTGTCAGGGGGACCTGCGTCGAGCCCAACGTCTGTCGATGTGATTTCGGTTATGTGGGGGCTAATTGTTCAATTCAGTGCCAGTGCAATGGCCACAGCAACTGCGCAGGCCCGGATAAACTCGACGAGTGCCTCGAGTGCCACAACAACACGATGGGCCCTCAGTGCGACAAGTGCCAGCCACTTTACGTGGGGAATCCCGCGGACAACGGACAGTGCGTTCCTTGTCTGGACTACTGCAACGGACACACTAGAATCTGCATAAACGAGAGCATGACGGTGTCCGATCCAAACTCGGTGGATCGAATGTCGATTGAACTGTTGACTAAACAACTGGTCGAGGGCCCAGTGGCAAAAGCGAAATGCGTGAACTGCGGGAACAACACGAGGGGCGATAAATGCGGGGAATGCGTTCCGGGATATTTCCGGGGAACGGAGGACCTCAGGGACGTGTGTCGCCAGTGCGAGTGCCACGGGCACGGGTTCACCTGCGACCCCGTCACCGGGGAGAAATGCAACTGTGGGAATAACACGGAGAGCGAGCCGTCGTGCACCCCGGGCCCCAGTAAGGGGACGATTGTCCAGGGAATCCCCTGTTGGAAGGCTCAGTGCAGCAAGTGCCGGGAGAACTACGCGGGAACGCCGACAGGGGGACACCAGTGCTACAAGACGGTCACTGTCGACAACAAGATGTGTTTCGACTCGAAGCTGATCGACGAGTGCAAGATGAAGCCGAAGCCCCTGAACCCGGGGCAGACTGTGTTCTACATGGTTCAGCCGCGATTTATGAATGTCGATATCAGAGTTATGGTTGACGTGACGCAAGGGGCTCTCGATCTGTTTCTCTCCCCCAGGGACGATTCGTTCGTTGTTAATCTGAACTCCTCCACTGGGTACCAGGAGGTGGGGCTTGACGAGCGGTTCAAGTGGAGGAAGGATCACTACGACAATTGGTTTGACGATCACTTGATGCATCGGGCTAGGATCGTCGAGTTTCTTCCTAACGAGAGTATTCCGGAGATTAAGTGGAATACTGGGCCGCAGTATGTTGTGATGGAGAGGTATGCCGAGGGGTTGGCGACCTTCATCACTATTGAGCAGAAGGACATCTTCCTGGTTGTGAGGAATCTGACGAATAGATTGGTCTTGACGCTGCCCCAGGACAAGCATGAGCTTGGCCAGACCAAGTTTCATATTGCTCTGAGGGCTATTGACACGCCCTATCCGGAGATCAGTGGACGCGCTGCTTACGGAATGATATTCTTCCGCCAGGATCAGCTGCACATCGATCTTTTCGTGTTCTTCTCGGTGTTCTTTTCGTGTTTCTTCTTGTTTCTTGCGGCGTGCGTGGTTGCGTGGAAGACCAAGCAAGCCGCTGACGTCAGGAGGGCCAGGAGAAGGCATGTCGTGGAGATGCTGCACATGGCGAAGAGACCCTTCGCCTCGGCGACGATTCTCTATGATCGCGATGGGAATGAGTGCAGCACGAGCTCCCCGCAGAGGAAGGGCCGGAGGAATAAACTCGTCAATTTTCATAGCGATGTTAGACCTGTTGCTGTCGAGCCGACTGATGATGGCATCGCGGCGGTGGCCACCGTTTTTATTAGGCTCCCCGGAGGCCCTCATGCACCTGTTAAACTGGCACTTGCTAGCTCGCTGATTCTGCTGACGAGGGTCTATCCGGTCAACAGTCGGGTGTTTCTGAGACGCAGGAATAGCCATGCCATTAATTGAGGCGGGGGAGGGGAGTGGCGGAGAATTTGGGGAAGGGGTGGTACGCAAGGCGATGGAGAATGTTAATTCTATTCGGATTACACACGATTACACACGGAAGGGATGTTTAGTTTGAGAGTTGTGGGAGTTTCAAACTGAGACTTTTGAAAATGTTAACACCTAAGGGGTAACAGGAGGCCAACGTTTCCAGGAAATTTTGAAAGAAATTTCCTGCTCAAAGTTTTTGATGTTTTTCGAACCCAAAGCACATTGATCTTCGTAATCGCCTCTTGGAGATTAATGTGCTGCGATTTGTAAACATATCAACAGCTTTCGGCGGGAATTTTGTTCAAATATTTGGGAATTGGCGCCATTCTGGTACCCCTGTGGTCGCGCTTCTCTAGCGTCTCACTCGGTCTACAGTGGCGCTCTGTAGGTTGCGTATAGTTTGGCGGGGATTCCCTCGGGTCACGAGCAGTTAAGGGTTAAAGTGAGGTCTCAAAGCCAGTTTAAGACTTGAAAATCTCAATTTGAGACTTGAAAATGTCAATGTAAACCCTTTGAATATCTCAAGTTGAGAGTTTCAGAAGGCTAAAATTGACATTTTCAAGTCTTAAATTGAGATTTGAAAATATGAATTTAAACCCTCTGAAAGTCTCAAATTGAGATTTTCAAGTCTTAAATTGAGACTTGAAAATCTGAATTTAAACCCTTTGAAAGCCTCAAATTGAGATTTTTAAGTCTTAAGGGAAGTTGAGAGTTTCAGAACTCAATTTAAGATCTTCGAAAGTCCCAACTTGAGACTTGAAAATCTCAATTTAAACTCTCTGGAAATCTCAAGTTGAAATTTGAAAGTCTCAAGTTAAGACTTTTAGAAGTCTAAAATAAAAAAAGGGATTTTCAAGGCCTAAATTGAGTTCGGAAACCTTCAGCTTCAGATTTTCGAAAATTTCAATTGAAGACATGAAAATCTCAATTTAAACCCTCTGCAAGTTTGACGTTGAGGTTTGAAATTCTCAAGTTGAAGTTTTTGAAAGGCTAAAATTGAGATTTTCAAGTCTCAAATTGGAACTTTCGAAAATCTTAAACTGAGTTCTGAAACTCTCAAATTGAGATTTTCAAAAGTCTCAGTTTAAGACTTGAAAAACTCAATTTAAACTCTTTGAAACTCTCTGGAAATCTCAAGTTGAAATTTGAAAGTCTCAAGTTAAGACTTTCAGAAGACTAAAATAAAAAAAGGGGATTTTCAAGGTCTAAATTGAGTTCGGAAACCTTCAGCTTCAGATTTTCGAAAATTTCAATTGAAGACATGAAAATCTCAATTTAAACCCTCTGTAAGTTTGACGTTGAGGTTTGAAATTCTCAAGTTGAAGTTTTTGAAAGGCTAAAATTGAGATTTTCAAGTCTCAAATTGGAACTTTCGAAAATCTTAAACTGAGTTCTGAAACTCTCAAATTAACATTTTCAAAAGTCTCAGTTTAAGCCTTGAAAATCTCACTTTGAAACTTGAAAAATAAAATTTAAACCCTCTGAAAATTTCAATTTGACATTGTAAGTCTCAAATTGAAATCTTCAGAAGGCTAATGCTAATATTTTCAAGTTTCAAATTGGGACTTTCGGAAGGATCAAATGGAGATTTTCAAGTCTGAGAATTTCGATTCTTTCGAATGTCTCAAATTGCGACTTCCGAAAGTCTCAATTTAAGACCTTTGAACTCTCAAAATAAGGATTTTTTTCTGGGTGTATATCAAAATTTCAAATTACGCAGTTTAAAGCGATTTTTGAACAGATCTTCAATAAAAAAAATAACAGAATTGGATTTTTATGTGCAACTTATTCTTGTGCGATTTACTGTACAAGAATTCTTGTGCATAAATTTCCCAAATTTCTTCATTAAAAATTTACTTCCAAGCTGCGAGAATTTTTCAGATTTACCCCCTATTCTTCGCCACTTTGCTACCGAATTGTTTTTCTCATTTTTTCGTAGAAATGCCTAGCTTTACCAATGTTATTCATTTATTATTTTATTTTTTCGTCGAGTGACTAAAAGAGACGAGTTCAAAGGGTTTTGACAGATTCTGTTCTATCTTCGTTGGAAAAGAAAAAAACTAGTGCATTCGTTAGAAAAAAAATTATTCTACTGATAGATTTTCCGTGAAAATTCCCTGACATAAATTTTGGGATTTTTTTCACTCGAATCTTTTTATTCTAATTAAAAAAATCAAATGAAAAAACTCAGAAAATTTAGGGCGAGGAATTTCTATAGAAAATCCGTTTATGGAATAAATTGTGTAGAAAAATCAAATTCTATTAATTTTTTCTATAAAATATTTTCCATTAAATATTTTCATTCTTTAATAAACTTGTGAACAAGCTGCGGCATTTTTTAGTAGATCAGCGCAAAACTAATAGAGTTCTTGATACAAGTTCTATGGAAAATCAATAGAATTTCCTAGCGAATGCATCGGTTTTTTTCTAGTTCAAATGAGATTTGAAAATTAATCTGTACATAATTTTCAACTCATCTACTTTCATCACTCGACTGCAGAATCGATATTGCCTCGACTTTTTCTCTCAATGACTCCTCTCTTCTATCTGAATTCTCGAAGACACGTTGGTGTATTTACCATTCCATGACGAGACTGTACGTTTGTATATAAAGATCTGTAATTACTCTAGAAATTTTTTTAATGATTTTATCGATAATTTCGTTGAAAACTTTTGAATGTCAGAAGTGAAAGGAGGAATAATCAGTTATTGATAATTGAAGTGCATAATAGGAATAATGATTTCCGCACAATATGAATAATGAAACAGTATTAACGAAAAACTGTGCGAATTTATAGAAATCCTGGAATTAATTGTACAATTCATAAAAATCGAAGGTTCCTAAGAAAATTGTTTAATGGAATGGTGCAGCAATTTGATGAATTGCATAATCTCATTTATGATATTATGAAGTTGGTAAAACGTTGACAAATGATACGAAAATGGATAGATTTATACTGGACGAACGAAGATATATGTATATAAATTGAATGTATTGGAAATTAATCATCTACACTGCGAGAAAAAAATATATTCTGCAACAAGTCTTGGTTGAACCAAAAAAATTGCAAGTTATTATCAAGATGGAAATTATTTTATTTCAGTAGCGAAGCGGTAAAACGATTTAAGTCGACTTAGCTCGAGTAAAAACTGAGAAAATTTGCGCCGAGAAAATTCTATAGAAAATATCTCAATAGAATAAGTTGTGTAGAAAAGTCGAATTCTTTTGACTTTTTTTACAGAATATTTTCTATTGAATAATTTTAATGGAATCGGCCAAAAACTAATAGAAAGTTCAATAGAAATCCAATAGAATTGCCTAGCGAATTCGGTAGCGTTTTCTATAAAATTTTTTCATTCGCAATTCTCTGGTTTTTTAGAAAATTCGAGGAAATTTTCGGATTTTCTAAAAAATTTGAAGGAATTCTCGGATTTTCTGAAAGTTTGACTAGGTGTGTCGCCCGAAAATCAAATCTAAGAAAAAAAAAACGTGAAAAATTGATGCTCAGAATTCTAAAAACTTCTATAAACAAATATTTTTTCAAAATCACATAGAAGCATTGCATAATTTTGGCTAGAATTGGCGCAAAGAACTAATAAAATCTTTCACTGGAATTCTCATAAGGTTTTAATAAAAATCCTGTAGAATTTCTTAGAGAAACCACTAGATTTTTCTATTAAATATTTTCATACGTGAGTTCTTGCTTGTCCAGCGAATAACAATTTTTTGAAACAAATAAATCTATTTTTGCAAAATCGACTCATCATCTCAGGCCACTCTTCGAATGTTCAGCATGAGATGTTTCTCTCATAGCGATTTTAAACATGCGTTTTTTTAATTCAAAGAGGACTTGTTTGAGAACATGTTTTTCCCTCGCAATGCGAAGTGATTAATGATGAGTTCACATAATCCTGGATCTTGACGATATTTTTTTATTTTCTTTTCATATTCTTTTCTTATCGTCCAGGATTGCAACAAGATGTTTTAAACCTGTAAATAACTGTTACGTTCGTGATAAATTGTTGACTAAATGAGTTCTGCACACATGACAACTGAAATTGCGTCTCGAAACGACAAAGGCAGAAGAATTAAAAAATTTGAAAGATATTATTCTGAAAATACATCGAAAACTAGTGGTTTTAAAGAAAAATGTCAATCGATCGTTTTTTGTGACCATAAAATGCACTAGAAAAAACCTCTTCCAGCAAATATTTATAAATCCACTCATTTTTCGGATATTGTTAGATTACTATAGGGGAAAGTGGGGCAAAATGAAACAGTAAAAAAAAACAACTGTTTGACGCAATTCAAGTAAAAAAAAATTTTATTAATTTTTTTTTCTCGAGAGTACTGAGGAGAATAATAATTTTTCGCTTTTAGTAGAATGGAAAATTATTGAGAACTTCCGACGGGCGATGATTTGTCAATGGATTAATTGAAAAATAAATAAAACAGCAAAATCCAAAGTCCAAATCCAAAGTTGACAAAAAAAATTGATGAAAAAATTTTTTTTGCTTGAATTGCGTCAAACAGTCGTTTTCTATTTCATTTTGCCCCACTCTCCCCTACTCGAGAAATTTGAATTGATCTTAAAAAAAATGTATCAACACGATGTATGTTTCGAATGTTTCTTCGAATGTAAATGATTTGTCAAATAATTGTACAGAGTGTTTTTTTACATTTCGTCTTTCATTGAATTGAAGGAACATCAAATGAATTTAGACCATTCGAGCAATGATGAATTATCCCACAATAATGGAACAAATGAAACAAGAAAATATATATTAATATATGGAAAGAAAATATAAGGGAAGACATTTGTGTAAAAAATAAATGGATATTGATGATATTGTATTTATATGGATGTAACGCTTGAATCTTGATAACTGCTGTACAGATCTGAATCTCTGATATTTTATAAATATTTTATATTGTAGATCCTTCATTAGACCAGAATCTTCCATGCAACGTAAACTCACTCCACGTTTCTGCTTGATAAGTAGATGGAAAAAAAGGATAGGGTGTAAGAAGGGAAATCTATATAACGTCATTACTGCATTAAGGAGTACAGTTATTATGAATATAGGTGAAATGTTACGAAATGATTAATGAGATTGTATGAACATGTATGGGGGAATTTTATTTAATAAATATATGAAAATTTGTGAATGTTTTTTTAATGGCAGTTTATTGCGGTCGAATAAAACGAATTATTAATGAGTGGGTCGTTATTAGGTGTTAATTTGTTGAATGCAATTGGCTTGAGATCATTCTCACATTCACGAAAAAATTCATAGAATGACTTGGCGAATTCGAGAGAAAATTCTATTGTATTTCTATTCAAATTCGGCTTTATGAATCATTATTAAAACATTCTTCTACTTGAGGAAACCTGCCAGAGTCAAATCCCGAGCACTTCATTTTTTTTCATTTTATATACGTCTTTTAAATTTTTAAACATAATTCAGTAGCGAAGTGGTGAAACGGTTTAAGTCGATTTTGACTACTGGCCAGTTTTAGCTCAGAGATAGCTAAATTTTTATTGAGACCTTTTTTGTAGCGCTCAATTTGCTCTAGAAAAAAGGTTATTACGAAAATTCCATTAGCTCCTTTAGATTCGGAGATATTCTTCAAAAACTCAACTGAGATAAGTTGACTTAAACCGCTTTACCACTTCGCTACTGAATTGTATTTCTATTGAACTTTTATTGACGGTATTTTATGGAAAAAAACAATAGAATTTCATCTTTCTATACATTTTCTATTTAGACGATTTCTAAAGAAATTCCTCGACATGAATTTTCCAAATTTTTTCTCTTCTATTTTCCTTTTCTCTGCATAAAAAAAATAAAAGAAAAAAATTGTAAATATGAGTCGAAAAAATTGCTACTGAATATTCTTCATTACACATTATTATTGAAAAAAATTGAACGGATAAGCTGCGGTATTTGCCAATAGAATCGGCCGAAAAAAATGGAAAATTCAATATAAATCCAGTAAAATTTCCCAAGTTTTTTCCCTTTATTCTCCTTCTCTTTTAGTTAAAAGAATCAAACAAAATAATTAATAATAATAATGAAATGTAATAATTATAAAACCGAAAAATCAATTATTTGAAAAAATAATAATTCTTTTCAGTAAAATACAATGATAGTTTTTAATTTTTTTTTTAAAGCTAATTAAATTTTTTTTTTAAAGTTTCCGATCTGATTTATGAATTTGGTTTCTCTTGGAAATTTCTCAATTTTGGGGAACCATTTAAATAGTTTTTCAAATTATCAATTTATTATTCAATAAATTAATACAATTTATTGTATTAATTTTAATATTAATAAATTAATTCAATAAATTAATAATTATTCAATAAATTATCAATCAATTATAATTTCAAATTAATGCTGGTCCCACCTCTGCTATAATGGCTGCAATTGAAGTAATGCTCCAGGTTTCCTTGACAACGGCGTCGGGCACAATCAAAACACATGTGGCGCAAATGGGAAAACCCAATGAAAGTGAAACGTAAAATTCCACGTTGAAACCATCAGGTTTACTTTTTCACTCTAGTTATTCGTGTTATCAATCGCATCATTAATTACTAATTCTCGAAATGCGGTTCAAAATAGCGAAATGGAATAACAGCAATGGCCACAAGAAAATAGTGACATGTGTTGCTTGGAATTCATCGGAGGAAATTTATTCCACAGGGTAAATAAAAATACAGAAATTGTCCTTCCGTTTCACCGACTTTTCTTCCCCGACAAAATTACCCCAACATCCCCCCTCCCCCATTTTTCCTCACATATTTCTTTCTCGATATTTCTTTCTCAAAAATGAATTCTATCTCTAATTTTTTTCCCTCCCATTTCTGTATAATTTTCTCAATCTATTTCATTTACATAGAAAAAATTATTAAATTATTCAATATTTAATTTCCATTAATAATAATTCTTAGTGCATGCGTTGTTATAATATACCTGACTAGGGGGCTTCGCCCCCTGCTCGCTCCGCTCACCAACCCGGGGGGGGCTTTGCCCCTCCCACTCGCTTCGCTCGTTCCCCCCCCCC